CTCTGTCGCCCAGACTGGAGTGCAATGGCACGATCTTGGCTCATTGCATCCTCCACCTCTTGGGTTCAGGCAATTTTCCTGCCTTAGCCTCCTGAGTAGCTGGATTACAGGTGCCCACCACCATGTCTAGCTAATTTTTGTATTTTTAGGAGAGACAGGGTTTCACCATGTTGGCCAGGCTGGTCTCGAGTGCCTGACCTTAAGTGATCCGCCCGCCTTGGCCTCCTGAAGTGCTGGGATTACAGGTTCGTGAGCCACCGTGCCTAGCCTATAATGGCTATGTTAAGAACATACTATGTGCCGGGCACTATGAGAGGTCCTGGGGATACCAATACAAGGGGACAAGGTCCTAGTCTTTAAGAGGCTGACATTCCAGTTTAGGGCTACCACATGCATCAGATAAGTCAGCTCTATGGGGCAGGAGAATGGGAGTGATCATGTCTACCTAAGAGGTAACCAAGAAAGGAAGTTAACTGGTAAGAGCAACAGATGCTTTGATGTTGAGAATAGCATGGGCCAGAGGGAGCCATTGGTCAAGAATGACAGGCACTGGACATGTGGAGCTGAGGCTGGAAGGCTCTGCAGCCTTGCTGGGAAGTGCACACCTTACCCTGCAGGCAAAGGAAACAAACGCTTCCTATTGGCAAGTCTTCAGGTAATGTCAATCAAATTATTTCCCAGTTTTCTCCCAGAGATTACAGAAGGATTTTATTTCATTTACTTAATACATTACATTGATTATGTTCATTTTTACATTAGATATGTATTATGGACCAGTTGTTAACAAAATTTATACCTTTGCTATAAACCATGGACAGACTATAGCAAAATGTCTAAAAGGTATATTATGGTATCTGTTGCTCTTATAAGATAAGCTGGCTTATCTGATATACATGTCATATCCCTCGACTGAAATGTCAACTTCTTAAGGACTAGGACCTTGTCCCTTTGTATTGGTATCCCCAGTAGTGATTTCTAGTATTTTTTTTTTTTGAGACGGAATCTTACTCTATTACCCAGGAAGGAGTGCAGTGGCGTGATCTCGGCTCACTGCAACCTCTGCTGCCTGGGTTCAAGCAATTCTTCTGCCTTGGCCTCGAGAGTACCTGAGCTTACAGGCACCTGCCACCGTGCCGAGCTAATTTTTATATTTTTAGTAGAGACGGGGTTTCACTATCTTGGCCAGGCTGGTCTTGAACTTCTGACCTCGTGATCTATCTGCCTCAGCCTCCCAAAGTGCTGGGATTACAGGTGTGAGCCACTGCACCTGGCGGTTTCTAGTATTTTTGTTTTTTTGAGACAAGGTCTCGCTCTGTCACCCAGGCTGGAGTGCAGTGCTGCAATCACAGCTCACTGCAGCTTCAACCTCCTGGGCTCAAGTAATCCTGACTCTCCCACTTCATTCTCCTGAGTAGGTGGAACCACAGATGTACACCACCCTGCCCAGCTAAGTTTTGTATTTTTTTTGTAGAGATGGACCATTACTGCCCAGGCAAGTCTCAAACTCCTGGATCCAATGGCTTAAAAATGACCAAAAAATTTAATATTTGCTATTTCCCAATTTTTATCAACTATGCTACTAGCATTTGTCAGTAGACATGGGCATTGCCAGAACTGTTGTTCTCCAGCAGTCTGCAGAGGTATTCAGAAATGATTCTGCCCGTAGTCCTCGGCAAATCTCTTGTGTTAGTTGTAGGAAGCCAAAAAGATCCTTGCCTGGAGCCCCTGCCTCAGGCCTTTGTTTAAGTGTCACCTTATCCAGTTCTGCCTGTCCTGATAGTTCTTACTCTGCTTTTTTATTTTTCATAACACACACATCTCCATACTGTTTACTAACTTGTATTTGTTTATCCCTGCTAGACTCTAAGTCTCTTAAAATTTAGTAGGGATCTTTGTGTGTTCTGTTCACTGGTGTATCTCAAGCACCTAGAACAGGGTTCCCCAACCCCTGGGCCACAGATTAGTACTGGTCCGTGGCCTGTTAGGAACCAGGCCACACACAGCAGAAGGTGAGCAGGCAGGAGAGCATTACCTCCTGATCTCGGTGACCTGCAGATCAGCAGCATTAGATTCTCATAGGAGCTGAACCCTATTTTGAAGTATGCACACAGCGCATCTAGGTTGTGTGCTCCTTATGAGAATCTAATGCATCCCTTCCACCCCCAGTCTGTGGAAAAATTGTCTTCCATGAAACTGGTCCCTGGGTGCCAAAGAAGTTGGGGACCACTGACTTAGACCAATGCTTTACAGAAGACCTAGACTCAAAGGGCAGTAACTCGGTAATTAGGAAGTATAGGAAGTTTCCTTCTGAATTCTTTTATCTGGCAAAAAAAAGGAAGTCAGTCAGTTCTTGGAAACGTGACTTGAAGCAAAATGATGCACTGTATAACAAAGCCAATTTTACCACAGTTGATATAGTTTAAAAAAAAAAAAACCTTCAGCTGAATTCAATTTAAAAGAGCTTAATTTAGCAAGAATGATTCACAAATTGCACAGCCTGCTGACCAGAGTAGGCTCAGAGACTCCAGTGCAGTCTCACGGTTTAAGAGAATTTATGGACAGAAAAAGGAAAGTGATGTACGGAAAATGGAAGTGAGGTACAGAAACAGCTGGATTGGTTATAGCTTGGCATTTGCCCTATTTGAACACGGTTTGAACAGTTGGCCACATTTGATTGGCCAAAAGTCGAGGATTGGCACAAGAGTAGGCTTCAGTCTGTATACACCTCCACTTATTACAGTTCCTGATGTACATACAGAGAAACCTTTAGGCTGAATGTAAAATATGTAAGGAGGCAGCTAAAATTTATTTAACAATATAAACAAGAGTTAACTTCCTATGACACATACAGTATGTGATTTCATTTGAAGTCACAGTTTGCAAGAACCTACCGTGGAAGTTAAGTAAGGACTTAACAGCACTCCCTTAAGGCTTCTCCGCCTCTTGTCATTGGCCATCCTTTTGTCACTAAACGGAAAGGAGTTACTAAGTCAAGAAAGAAGATCTTATTGAGCTTGCTACAACAAGCTGCTCATCCCTGCTTGCATGTCTTTAGTAATAAGGATAAACAGCATGGTGCCCTGGAAGGTGAACTTAAGGGTCATGGAAATAAAGAGGAGGTGGGGTCTTAGATTCTGATTGCAGAGCACTATAAACTGACCATAACAGATGGTGTTCTTTTAAACAGGTATAAAAGTTTGGTCACTGGGACTCGAGCAAGAGGGGTCATTGCTGTCCTCTGGGTCCTTGCCTTTGGCATCGGATTGACTCCATTCCTGGGGTGGAACAGTAAAGACAGTGCCACCAGCAACTGCACAGAGCCCTGGGATGGATCCACGAATGAAAGCTGCTGCCTTGTGAAGTGTCTCTTTGAAAATGTGGTCCCCATGAGCTACATGGTATATTTCAATTTCTTTGGGTGTGTTCTGCCCCCACTGCTTATAATGCTGGTGATCTACATCAAGATCTTCATGGTGGCCTGCAGGCAGCTTCAGCGCACTGAGCTGATGGACCACTCGAGGACTACCCTCCAGCGGGAGATCCATGCGGCCAAATCGCTGGCCATGATTGTGGGGATTTTTGCCCTGTGCTGGCTACCAGTGCATGCTATTAACTGTGTCACTCTTTTCCAGCCAGCTCAGGGTAAAAATAAGCCCAAGTGGGCAATGAATATGGCCATTCTTCTGTCACATGCCAATTCCGTTGTCAATCCCATTGTCTATGCTTACCGGAACCGAGACTTCCGCTATACTTTTCACAAAATTATCTCCAGGTATCTTCTCTGCCAAACAGATGTCAAGAGTGGGAATGGTCAGGCTGGGGCACAGCCTGCTCTTGGTGTGGGCCTATGATCTAGGCTCTGGCGTCTTCAAGAAGATACAAATCCACAATAAACAAAGATGACACGGCTGGCGGATTCTCACTGTGAAAGATAGCTACACCTCACAAGGAAATCGACTGCCTCTCTTGGGCACTTCCCTGGAGCTACCACATATCTAGCTAATATGTATGTGTTACTAGTAGGCTCCAAGAGTTGACAAATATATTTATGATCTATTCAGCTGCTTTTACTGTGTGGATGATGCTGATAGCTTGAATGGATTCTAACAGACTGTTTTGTTTTTAAAAGTCTGCCTTGTTTATGGTGGAAAATTACTGAAATTATTTTACTGTGAAACACTGAACTATTATAATGCAAATATTTTTTAACTTAGAGGCAATGGAAAAATAAAAGTTGGCTGTACTAAAAATATATACTTGCTCCTAGGAAGGTGACCTCAAAAATTAAAGGTATAATTATTTGGCCAGGCACGGTGGTTCATGCCTGTAATCCCAGCACTTTGGGAGGCCAAAGCAGGTGGATTACAAGGTCAGGAGTTCGAGACCAGCCTGTCCAATGTGGTGAAAATCCATCTCTACTAAAAAATACAAAAATCAGCTGGGTGTGGTGGTGTGCGCCTATAGTCCCGGCTACTTGGGAGAGGAGAGGAGAATCACTTGAACCTGAGAAGCAGAGAGAGGTTGCACTGAGCCAAGAGCACCCCACTGCACTCCAGCAGGCGACAGAGTGAGACACCATCTCAAAAAAAAAGTATAATTATTCAATCAAGAAACTGCTGTATTAATTTAAGGAAATGATAGTCTCATAAGTCGAATTTTGATCACATAATTTTAAGCTCCATTCTTTTCCATATACAGAAAACTACCCGAGGGAAAAAGGCTGGTGAAATGGGATTCCCTCCTCTACTAAATTCTGCCATCTAGAGCTAGGTAGGGAATTTTGCTTCACTCCGAAGTTCAAGTTTGGTTAAGTTCTTGGAATCCAAAGTGTGAAAATTTTACTAAGCAAAATTATTTAACTCTGTGTGTATATGAGGTTAAATAAAAATAAAACTTAAAAAGACAAACTTAGGGTGCTGCACTGGCTTGTTACATCCACCTTCTAAACTTTACCCTGAAGGCTGCTGGAAAAAAAGTAAGTTAGAGTGAGTCCAAGTTTCCCGAGTAGCAGAAAAGTCTTGATAGATATTTGTTACACTTTAACAAAACAAAAAACATCTGCCAACCACAGAACATTACAACATCCCGGCCCTGGGCTTTTCACCCAGCATTTATTCACTAGCATCTCATGTTCTGGGGGCAAAAGCATGGGCTTTTCTTGGGCTGTAAAATCACCTATATCCTCTGTTTGTCCATTGCATCAATTCCTTCTGCAGTATCCTGCAAGGATATTACATGCTTATGAAATGCTGCAGACAGGGAGTTCCTGTCCTTCTAGGATCCTCTTCTGGCTGTGGGCAGTTTTACCGTAAGTTCTTGTCTTATGATTAAATTGATTTTATTTTCTTCTTCATGAATTATTTTCTTTGCTCGCTCTTAGTGTCCAACTGAGTCTCATCGCTCTGTCTTCTAACAGTCTTGTTACCTATTTTGTCTTTTCTTCTTTGGACTGAAATGTAGTTTCCTTCTAGGACATGATTTTTCATCTGTTCCTTCATTTGCCCTGTTACAAAGATCAGAAATGCACAGAGTGAAACCAGTTCTTCCCTTGATCTCGATACTACCTCTCAAACAATACAGCCTACTTAAGCTGTTTTGCTACCAATATCAGGTATTTGAAGCTTACAGGAACCAGAAGCTCTAAGTCTTTTCATACCTGCTGCTGTTTAGCCGCATCTCTGCTATGATCTACTGTTCATGCTCAATAGTTTTCTGGACACAAGGAAATGAACTACCTACTCATCTCAACTTCATCTTACTCTGTTTAGCCTACCATTCCAACCTTTTAAAAATTACTACTAATTCAGTTACTTAAGACTAAATAATGTGAACACAACATGATATTAAGCTTTATTTGAATTTAAAATCTTGATTCCATCCAGGGACATTTTTTATGCAAGTGCCTCAGAGACTGGCTCAGGTTTTTCTTAAGAAGTCTGCACAGGGCTTCTAACCATATGCAAACCCTCAACAGCCTATGGCTCCAACCCAGAGCACCTCCTGCAGTCACAGAGGGAAAAGGGACAGTAACAAGAAGTCTCTGAAGATGTATTTCACCTCTTTTCCATGTGAATCATGACATATTAAATGCATTTCTTGACAGGACTGTATTTTGAAAGAATGATCCTCATTCTGTACCTTTTATGGTTCTTGTTTCTTCTCCATCAATAATATGTCAGTCAACTGCTTGTCAGAGACACTTAGCTGCTGACAGGTCCTCATAACCTGACTAAGGTAAACTGCCAGGAGATGCTTGCACTGAAATATAAAACACACACACCTATTAGAAACAGGCAGAGGTGGGGATGGCCAGTCTAACCAAGATTTCTCATTACCATCTTACTCAGCAGGAAAGAACTAGGGCACACAGATTATGAGGTCTCTAGCTGATTGTCTACAAAGTGTAGACAGACCTGGCATGGTGGCTCACGCCTGTAATCCCATCACTTTGGGAGGCCAAGGTGGGCGGATCACTTGAGGTCAGGAGTTCAAGACCAGCCTGGCTGACAAAGCAAAACCCCGTCTCTATCAAAAATACAAAAATTAGCTGGGTGTGGTGACGCATGCCTGTAATTACAGCTACTTGGGAGGCTGAGGCATGAGAATCACTTGAGCCCAGGAGGTGGAGGTTGCAGTGAGCTGAGATCATGCCACGCACTACAGCCTGGGTGACAGAGCCAGACTCCGTCTCAAAAAAATAAATAAAAACTGCAGATAAAGATGATGAGACAAGTGTATTCTCTTTAGAAATCAGAGTGGACAAATACTTATTTTACCTGTTGCTTTGGGAAACGGCTTAGATATATCAGGCACAGGGTATGTAACCCCTGGTGAAAACCAAGACTAGCTCTGCTCCTCACTTTAGTCCTAAGTTATCTTTTTTCCTTGACTTCAGAAAGCTGTCACAGCAATGTTTTAACATTCCTTGAGGCACTACGCTGTTAAGTGCTTCTCGTAGATTATCTAACTTAAATCTGAAAGCTACCCTAGGAAGACAGGTATTATAACCACATGCTCATCAGAGTCTATAGGCTACTCTCTTAACTACTGTGCTATACTTCTGGGGTTGGGCGGGCAGGGCATAGTGACAAAACTCTCATATTTATTGGCCTGTACACACCTCTGGGGAGATGACTATGTTGAATCTGATGTCAGAGAACGCAGCTTTAGATCTTGAAGGGGCCCTGCTTCAATCCTGTCACTTGCAGGTGAAATAAACTAACGGCACATCCGTTATGAATGTGGCCTCTTGTACAATGGTGTACCCAACTTGCCACCCAGGTACGAAGATGTTTAAGAAGTTAACAGTGTAAAAGAAAGGGGAAGAATGGAGTGAACACCATTATTTTCTTCTTTGGCAAGACTTAAAAATAGCTGCCTGCTTTCAGGAAGGTAGCGTTTTTCCCTTTAGAATAAGATGTGTGTGAATATGTCCTGTTTCTGTGTCATGCACTGGACTCTGATGAAATTGGCAAAGGCTTAAAGGAATAGGCGAAGGTACTTAAATGCCATGTGAAGGTCAAGTGTGGTGCCAGGCTGTCTTACAGTTAATGTGGAGACTGCCAACATCAAATTTAGTTCACATTTTCATTGGGCCATCTAATTCCCCAGTGCCCATTTCTGGGATTCCCTTTTTGTCCTTCTCAAAGCTTCACTCATGATCCTTTAAATAAAAATTCAGGAAATTGATGTAGTTCTAAAAATGACATTGCATTTGGGAGGCTAAACCCCTAAGAGATCACTAACTGAAGTCAAGGACAAAAAACTACTATCTGTTTCAACAAGTAGTAAGATTCCCATTTTATAGAATAGTTAAACCACAAAGTAAGGGTGATTTCTCTCTACATTTGATTACAGTCAGAAGAGCCTTCCCCATCCTCACCAGGATGCTGTCACTCTTCCGTAGCACTGAGAAGGCAAATGCAGGACATGAACAGTAATGACAAGAAGCCAAACATGTGTATGTTTTCCCAGAACTTCCAAGTACCTAAGAAGAAAAGGATAGATGGGATCAGACCTCAGAAGATGTGCTGGAAAAACCACCTCTTTCCCTTTTTATCTATTTAAAGACTCAGCGTTGCTCTGCAAATTGCACTGAAAAGAACTGCAGTAAAAGAACTACAGTTTTACATAAAAGAGCAAGCAATGGGCCGGGTGCGGTGGCTCACGCCTGTAATCCCAGCACTTTGGGAGGCCAAGGCGGGTGGATCACGAGGTCAAGAGATCAAGACCATCCTGGTCAACATGGTGAAACCCCGTCTCTACTAAAAATACAAAAATTAGTTGAGCGTGGTGGTGTGCGCCTGTAGTTCCAGCTACTTGGGAGGCTGAGGCAGGAGAATTGCTTGAACCCAGGAGGCGGAGGTTGTGGTGAGCTGAGATCGTGCAATTGCACTCCACCCTGGGTAACAAGAGTGAAACTCCATCTCAAAAAAAAAAAAAAAAAAGAGAAAAGAAAAGAAAGAGGAAGCAACTTCTCTTCCCTTCAGTGTGCAGTTAGGACTTCATAAAGAAATTGAAGAGTTTCAAGTTAGTTCAACCAACCACATAAATCATTCTGTTGCTGTGCCTAGTGATTCACAGAGCCCACACTTTGGGCTGACTGTAATTAGAAGGAAGTGGAGGGGAAATCTCTCATCTACATTTTATTGTGGGGGTTCTTAACCTTTGGTATTTCGTAGCAGGTGTGTATACTTCTAAAGCTTCCTACATATCTAAAGAGAGAGTAAAAACGGGTAAAGGGTCAGTAGCAGGGCAGGAGTAAGATACGTCTCAAGCTGAGTGTGGTTCATGCCTGTAATCCCAGCACTTTGGGAGGCTGAGGTGGGAGGATCACTTGAGTCCCAGAGTTTGAGACCAGCCTGGGCAACATGGTTAGACCTTGTGTCTATAAAAAAATTGTTCTTAAAAGTCAGGCGTGGTGGCACATGCCAGTAGTCCCAGCTACTTGGGAGGCTGATGCAGGAGGACTGATTGAGCCTGGGAGGTCAAGGCTGCAGTGAGCTGTGATTGCACCACTGCACTGCAGGCTGGGTGATAAAGTGAGACCCATGAAAAAAAAAAAAAAGATAGGTCACAGAAGAAGCAAAGAAAGTGGGAAGAGGCTTTTGAAAAGCTTTTGAGAGCATGAGAACAGAGAAAATAAATAAAGCAAAGAACCTTGCAAAAGGAATGACTCAGCTGTTCAGAATGGAGGTCTCAGGAAAAGAGGCAAGCCCAGATCTGCCTACTCATCTAGCAGGATGGAAGGGGTCACTGATATATAGTGGACTGATAAGAGGCCCAGTCTAACAGTCTTGGTGGCAGTCAAGAGGAACAAAAAGGAGAAGTACAGGAAAAAAAAATACATCTGTATTATGATTGCACAAATTTGTTGGAGAAATCATTCATTTAAGTCTCTCTACCACCAAGCAGCCAAAAACTTTTTGTTGAGGTCTTCATTCCTAGAGTTAAGTTCCAAACTGGAGGCTTAAGATTATTATTAGTATTTGAGGGAAGCAGAAATATCATAAGGGTGATTTTATAATAAACTGCCACTTAGGAATTTAACACAGGGCCTTCAAAGCACTTTTAGGCTCTCAGGTGGCAATCTAAATGAAAAAGCAAGAACTTTTAATTTTTTTATTACAATATTAGCACTCCTAGGATTCTTTAATCTTTCCTACCTGCAGAGAATAAAGCTACAGGTATGGTTTTACTGCAAGAACAAACAGCAGATTCCAGTGCTGTGTTTTGTCACATTTTCAGTGGTTCATTTAATGCAGTTATCTCCATACAGTTTCTATTAACTTTTTATTTCTTTAAGATAAGGTCTTGCTCTGTCATCCAAGCTGGAGTGCAGTGGTGTGATCATAGCTCACTGCAGTATTGAATTGCTTGGCTAAAGTGATCCTCCCACATCAGCCTCCTGAGTAGCTAGAAGTACTGGTGTGTGCCACCACACTATGCTAATTTAAACAGATTCTGTAGAGATGGGGTCTTGCTATGTTGTCCAGCTTGAACTGATGGGCTTAAGTGATCCTCCCACCTCGGCCTCCCAAAGAGCTGGGATTATAGGCATGAGCTACGATACCCAGCCTCAGTATGTTTTTTTGGTGCAGTCAGAATTCCTTGGGGGTTTTTAGGTTACCAGAAATGGCCAATGATTAGGTAAGAAGACGGCTACTGAAACCATTCAATATTTCATCAGGCCGGGCATGGTGGCTCATGTCTGTAATCCCAGCACTTAGGGAGGCCAAGGTGGGCAGATCACGAGGTCAGGAGTTTGAGACCAGTCTGGTCAATATAGTGAAACCCTGTCTCTACTAAAAATACAAAAATTAGCTGGGAGTGGTGGTGGGCGCCTGTAGTCCCAGCTACTCAGGAGGCTGAGGCAGGAGAATTGTTTGAACCCAGGAGGCGGAGGTTGCAGTGAGCTGAGATTGTGCCACTGCACTCCAGGCTGAGTGACAGAGTGAGACTCTGTCTCAAAAAAAAAAAAAAAAAAAGAGAGATTTCAGCCCAGTTACAAATTAGGTGTTGAAAAACCACACCTTGCATATTACCTACTGCAAGGCTCTGACATGTTACAAATAAACCATCTAGACCACTCAGTATCAATGAAAAGAATTCCCTAGCATGTGTGGAAACTTAAACCGAAGGAAGAGCATTAAAGCAGATTGTTTTCCACTTAATCCTAAAGAAAACCCACAACATCCAGCAGTGACACGTAGAATTCTTTTTTCTTTTTTTGAGATGGAGTCTCACTTTGTTGCCCAGGCTAGAGTGCAGTGGTGTGATTTTGGCTCACTGCAACCTCTTCCTCCTGGGTTCAGGCAATTCTGCCTCAGCCTCTTGAGTAGCTAGGATTACAGGCATATGCCACCATGCCCAGCTTTTTTTTTTTTCTGCCCCACCACCCCTAACTTTCGTATTTTTAATAGAGATGGGGTTTTGCCATGTTGGCCAAGCTGGTCTTGAACTCCTGACCTCAGGTGATCTATCCACCTCAGCCTCCCAAAGTGCTAGGATTCCAGGTGTGAGTGACCCACCATGCCCGACCTATAATTCTTGGGTATCCAAACTATTACCAATGAATAAAACTTTAGGTTTCTTCTCCCATATTTACTCCTGTGTCTCTTCTCTCTAGATGTAAACTTATGCAGGCAGAAGCCTCTGGGATTCTATACTGACTAGAATGATTCACTGCTTCCTTCTTATTGTGAGTCCCTCATCCATCATAATGCTCCCTGGATCATGCTAATAAATGTCTGGTGACTTGGGATGGGCAGAAATTCTACAGAGGTTTCCTTGCCTGAGCCTTTCAAGGGCTAAGACTCAAAGTAAAATGTTCAACTGCCTAAAGCAATAAACACTAAAAGAGGTTAAATTGTGTATTTGCTTTTCCTTTATCTAGCAGTGGACAACTAATGAACCCAATAATCAGACAACATTTGAGTTAGAAAATTTAGAACTGGAAATTGACCTTAAGGATAACATAATTCAATTCCTTTACCCTTCAGTGAAAAAACAACTTCCTCTTACAGGAATTGCTCCTAGTTTTCCCGCTCATGGTCTGGAATGTTTATCCCAAGAAGGAGTGAGCTTTTTAAAAACGGAGCATGCTGGAAAGAGGATGCTCAGATCATGGCTGACTGGACTTGCAGGAACCTCACTTGGAGATGGTTTCTACAGTGGTTCTACTGTGGTTTCAGTTAGTCTACAAGGAGAGTTGAGCCATTTAGATGGTCATCCATTCATGGGTACAGTTTTATTTTATGACTGCTCCAAGCCTCTTAAGACACTTCAGAGTGTCTTAGTTATTCTTTCCTGGATTTGGTGCTTCTCTCTGAAAATAGGATTACACATTCTTTTCCTGTTAAACTACAGGCTGACCATGTGACCTGCTTTAGTAAAATCTGAGTAGCCAAGCAGAAAAATGTTAAAAATTGTGTCCATGTCCTCTTTTTTCTCTTTGAGATTCACAATGTTCCAGACATGAGCTGCTTCACCAACTGGGATCCCTGAATGCAGATGTTCTAGAACAGAGAGCTACAACTGGCTCCTGATGGATACATAGTATGAAAGAGATATAAAACTTTGTTTTGGGCTGGGCATGGTGGCTCACGCCTATAATCCCAGCACTTTGGGAGGCAGAGGCAGGTGGATCACCTGAGGTCAGAAGTTTGAGACCAGTCTGGCAAACATGGTGAAACCCTGTCTCTACTAAAAATAAAATTTAAAACATTGCTGGGCATGGTGGTGCATGCCTGTAATCCCAGCTACCTGGGAAGCTGAGGCAGGAGAATCGCTTGAACCCAGGAGATGTAGGTTGCAGTGAGCTAAGATCGTGCCACTGCACTCCAGCCTGGGTGATGAGCAAAACTCCGTCTCAAAACAAAACAAAACAAAAATAACTTTATTTTTGCGAGCCTTTCAGATTTGGGGTCACTGTCACCACAGCATAACTTAGCCTCTCCTGACTGAAATATCCCCCTTCCTAAGTGAACCAAAAAAGTATAAAAAGTGGCCAGGTGTGGCAACTCATACCTGTTAACCCCAGCATTTTAGAAAGCAAAGGTGGTGGATCACCTGAGATCAGGAGTTCCAGATCAGCCTGGCCAATATGGTGAAACCCCACTTCTACTAAAAATACAAAAAGTAGCCGGGCATGGTGGTCCACACCTGAAATCCCAGCTACTCAGGAGGCTGAGGCAGAAGAATCACTTAAAACCAGGAGACAGAGGTTGCAGTGAGCTGAGATGGTGCTGCTGTACTCCAGCCTGAGCAACATAAAAAGATTTTGAAAAAAAAAAAAAAAAAAAAAAAAAAAAAAAAGAAGTATAAAAAGCAACTCAGGTGTCAGCAACATAATGATGACTTTAGAATTATTATATTTAGAGAATAATAAGAATATTAGAGTTGACCTATGGAATAAAGATTGACCTATGAAAAGATAATTAGCTGGACATTGAGGCAGTAAGTGACTCAACTTTTATAATCTCATACAACTCCTGAATTCAGCCGAATTCTTACTATATGACCATACAATGCAACCATTAAGGTTAATCTGAAGGTGTATAAGATTTCTACAGCCTCATTTAATTCAAAGTCCAAGAGGATGGCCACAATTCTTAGAAGTCAGCATTTTATAATTAATAAACCGATGTAATATATACCAGATGGGAACAACAAAAACTAAACAAGTGACTTAAACAAGTCACTGTTGACCACTGGGAGGAACAAAAAGTCAACAGTAATTAAAATCTTTCAAACAAAAGTCTGCTTGCCCAGGTCAAGTGTGCCCATAATGGAACCAAGATCGAAAATCCAGAACTAAAAGCACAGGGAAAACCAAAAATAAAAACACCAGGAAAAGAGGACAGACACACCTCCTCAGGTACAAACTGCAAGTTCAGTGACTGATTATTAATCTCTAAGTTCACCATGAGAAAATTCATCTAATAGGCGGTCTCTTTTGAGTAAGAAAATATCATCCAAAATTTTAACCACAGCAACCAGCACTAATTACCACATTTTCCTTAATGCAGAAATGCATGAAGATTTTACCAGATCAGCATGAGGAAGGGCAAGTTAATTCACTAAGCAAAGGCATCTATCTGCCCAGGCAGGCTTTGCTCAAGCCATTTACTCCCTAAGAATTGACACGGCCTTTTAATGAGAGTTAACTGATACGGTCTCAGCTCTGAGAAATTCACTGTAAATAAGCCAGAATTCAAACTCTAGAAAAATTTACCCTTTTCTGGTCTCAGTAAGGCCTGGATTACATACAAGAGCTGACAAAATTTTGGACACTGCTGCCAATATTTTCATTTCATTCATGATTTCCTTCCCTCAATCCCAGCTGCACTTACCCTGTGTCTCATATAGCTAAAATGGGGTGGGGTTGTGCAGGGAGAAGGGTCAGGTGGTTGAGTCTGGCTCCCTCTTTATATGGTCTTTATTCATGTCTCATAAGACAGGCAGTGTGGAGTAACCAGATGTGACTGTTACTTTACTTTTCTGCATTTCCATTTCCTGCAAAAGAAATACCTTGCTGGGTTTTTGCAGAGATGGGTCTTACTATGTTGCCCAGGCCAACAAAGGGCTGAGATTACAGGTATGAGCCACCATGCTGGGCCTGTGAGCTGACGTCTACACACTGCTTTTAGGTAAAGTCAGTAGGATTTTATTTTATTTTTAATTTTTTTTAAATTTCTTGAGACAGAGTTTCGCTCTTGTTCCCAAGGTGCAGTGCAATGGTGCGATCTCAGCTCACTGTAACCTCTGCCTCCCAGGTTCAAGCAATTCTCCTGCCTTAGCCTTCTGAGTAGCTGGGATTATAGGCGTGCGCCACTATGCCTGGCTAATTTTTTGTATTTTTAGTAGAAACGGGGTTTCATCATGTTAGCCAGGCTGGTCTCAAACTCCTGACCTCAGGTGATCCTCCTGCCTCAGCCTCCTGAAGTGCTGGGATTACAGGCATGAGCCACTGCGTCCGGCCATCTTAATCACAAAAATGTCTGAGGATTCTGTTAAGTGAAGCTATGTTAAATGAAATAAGCCAGGTATAGAATGACAAATACCACATGATCTCACTTATACATGGAATCTACAAAAAGCTGAATTCATAGGCTGGGTGCAATGGCTCATGCCAGTAATCCCAGCACTTTGGGAGGCTGAGGAGGGAGGACTTGAGGCCAGGAATTCAAGACCAGCCTGGGCAACATAGTGAAACCCTGTCTTTGTTTAAAACAAACAAACACGGGAACCTGAGACAGGAGAATTGCTTGAACCCGGGAGTCGGAGGGTGCAGTGAGCCAAGATCACACCACTGCACTCCAGCCTGACACCTGGTGACAGAGCAAGACTCTGTCTCCAAAAAAAAGTTAACTCATAGAAGAAGAAAGAATAGTGGTTACCAGAGGCCTTGGCGTTGGCAAGGAAGAGAGAGAGATATTGGTCAAAGGGTACAAATTTCAGTTAGACAGGAGAAGTTCAGGACAACCATGGTACAACATGGTGACTATATTTAATAACAATGTATTGGCGAGGGGTGGTGCTCATGCCTGTACTTTGAGAGGCCAACGTGGGAGGATCGCTTGAGTCTAGGAGTTTGAGACCAGCCTGGTGAGACCTTATCTCTATAAAAACAAAGAAATAAAAAGACTGAAGTATTGTATACTTGAAAATTGCTAAGATAGTGGATTTTAAGTGTTCTTATCACAAAAAATAAGTATGTAAGGTATTAGATATGTTAATTTGATTCAGTTATTCTACAAGGTATCCATATATCAAAACATCATGTTATATGCCATAAATAAAGACAATTTCTATCAATTAAAAGTAAATAAAATTTTTTTTAAAATTACCAATTTGTTAATTTTACCAAGTTAGGTCAAAAACTTTTTAATAGTTCAGGAAATTTTTTTTGAGACAGAGTCTCCCTCTGTGATGAGGCTGGAGTGCAGTGGCTCAATTAGTGGCCTGATCTCCACTCACTACAACCTCCGCCTCCCGAGTTCAAGTGATTCTCCTGCCTCAACCTCCCGAATAGCTGGAACTATAGGTTCGTGCCACCAGCCCGGCTAATTTGTGTATTTTTAGTAGAGACGGGGTTTCACCATGTTGGCCAGGATGGTCTTGATCTCTTGACCCGCCTGCCTCAGCCTCCCAAAGTGCTGGGATTACAGGCATGAGCCACCACACCTGGCCCATTCCAGGAAATGATTTAAAGCTGGTCACCAGCTTCCACAAAGATGAAGAAAATATTTTGTCCTCAGGGGTTTTTGTAGGGATCACCCCCATCTCTAGACTTCTACCTGGTAAACACGCCTTCCACTGGGTGATGAGATTAAGGTGATGGATTGTCGATCAACTAGGTCCAAGGCCTGGGTGGCTGATGAGCCAAAGAGAAACTTCAGCCTGTGAAATAAAAAGGCTTCAGATTAGAAGGCCTGATACTCAAATCACCTCAGTTACTTGACCCAAAGGATCACTAGCCTTAGCATTTTTTAAAAATTCAGTTTATTTGGAAAAAAGGAAAATAATACGGCAACGGACTCACTCATTCCCCAGAATTATTATCATCTTGTGTACTTATTTCAGATCTTCTTGTATATTTTAATAAAGGAAGGTACTCCCTTTATCACTGTTAGTGATAAAGAAGCCCTCTTTATGCTTCTTTTAGTGCCTCCTGTAGTTCTTCCTACCTTCCCCTTGCCTATGAGGCAACCACATGCATTTGTTGGTTTCCTTCTTGTTAATGTGTTCGTTTTATTAAATATTATACATAGAACATACATATGCACACATACATAACAAACAAATGTGCATATATATACACATATACATATACATATGGTATTGTTTTAAAACATAAAAGGTATATTGTAGGTTTCTTTTTGCTGTTCTTGAAATGGCTCATAAAAAATAAATGAAAATGGCCGGGCGTGGTGGCTCACGCCTGTAATCCAAGCACTTTGGAGGAAAAGGCACACGGATCACCTGAGGTCGGGAGCTCAAGACCAGCCTGACCAACGTGGTGAAACCCCGTCTTAAAACACACACACACATACACACACACACACACACACACACGGATTAATTTCTTCCCCAATTTGTCCATAAATCTGATATAATTCTAAATAAAATCCAAATATGATTAAAAAAATAAAAATTAAAAAAATGAATGAAAATACAAAATACTGTAGACTTATTTTGGCAACTTGCATTTTTCTACTCAATGCATTTTTGAAAATGAGGCGTGTTGACATACATATATTTTTACTTTACTTTTGAATAATATTCCATTACATGTACACACTGAATTTTATCTGAGTACCCTACGTATGGACATTCTGTTTCCATTTTATACTATTATAAATAATACTCGATTATCTCCATATGTGTCTCTTGGCATACATCTCTTGAAAATCCTCCTTTAGTTTACGTAACTAAAGGATATGTTCATTTTTCAACTTTAATAGGTATTTCGGGCCAGGCATGGTGGCTTATGTATGTAATCCCAGCATTTTGGAAGGCTGAAACAGGAGGAGTGCTTGAGCTCAGGAGTTCAAGACCATACTGAGCAATGCAGTGACACCTCATCTCTAAAGAAAAAGAAATTAAAACACACAAAAAAGTGAAAATGGCACCCCCACCAGCAATGAATAAGATTTCTATTTTCACCATGTCCCCACTAACACCAGTATTATCAAGCTTTTTTATGTCTGCCAATCGGAAAATATTAAATGTGTACTTTTTGGATTAGTAATAAGGTTATCCAACTGTTAAATGACATAAAGGAAAAAATTTTGATATGTCAGAAAATTCTTACAATATTAGGTGAGAAAGGCAGGAGACAAAATTATATTTTAGCAAGTCTCAAGCATGTTAACTTTTTAAAAGGAAATCTACAATTATGTTGAAATTAAAAGTTTAATTTTTTTTTTTTTTTGAGATGGAATCTCACTCTTGCCCAGGCTGGAGTGGAATGGTACAATCTCAGCTCACTGCAACCTTCACCTCCTAGATTCAAGTGATTCTCCTGCCTCAGCCTCCTGAGTAGCTGGGATTACAGGTGCACAACACCATGCCTGGGTAATTTTTGTATTTTTTTAGTGGAGATGGGGATTCACCATGTTGGCCAGGCTGGTCTTGAACTCCTGATATCAGGTAATCCCCCTCCCCCAAGGTGTTGGGATTTCAGGTGTGAGCCACTGAGCCTGGCCTTTTTTTTGAGGCAAGGTTTCTCTCTGTCATCCACGTAGGGTGGCTTGCAGTGGTGCAATCATGGGTCACTGCAGCCTAAACTTCCAGGCTCAAGTGATGCTCCCACCTAAGCCTCCCTAGCAGCTGGGACTAGAGGTACATGCCACCACACCTAGCTAATTTTTTTGATTTTGTAGACTACAAGTACAATGTCAAACGTCAAAATTAAAAGTTTAATTTTTTTTTGACATGGAATCTTACTCTGTTGCCCATGCTGGAGTGGAATGGTATGATCCTGGCTCACTTCAACTTTCGCCTCCTGGGTTCAAGCTGTTCTCCTGCCTCAGCCTCCAGAGTAGCAGGGATTACAGGTAGACTGGCTCACACCTGTAATCCCAGCACTTTGGGAGGACAGGTAGAGTGGCTCACACCTGTAATCCCGGCACTTTGGGAGGCCAAGGCTAGTTGATCACGAGGTCAGGAGATCGAGACCAGCCTGACCAATGTGGTAAAACCCCATCTCTACTAAAAATACAAAAATTAGCCAGGTGTGGTGGCAAGCGCCTGCAGTCCCAGCTACTTGGGAGGTTGAGACAGGAGAATTGCTGGATCCTGGGAGGCAGAGGTTGCAGTGAGCCGATATCACGCCACTGTATTCCAGCCTGGGCGACAGAGCAAGATGAAAAAAAAAAACGAAGAAATTTTTAAACCTGCTCTGTCTACTTTATGACCTATTCTGAATATCTCTTGAATGCATTAAAATTTTTTCCAGAAAAAAGAATTTTCCATATCACTTTTTTTTTCACTTTTAATGGTTACAAAGAACTCTACTGTAAAGATGAATCATTTTTATTCTCCTCAAACTCCATAAATTATTAGATTTTTTCTAGGTTGTACTGCTACCATAAACAATATTGGATGACTATCCTCACTGTAAAATCTTTATGAACGTCCATAATTACTTCCTGGGTATATATTCTTCTACATGGAATTACTGGGTCAAAGAATCTGTCTGTTTTAAAGTTCCTATTGCCTGTTATCCTGAATTGACATTCCTGCCAGCAGGTTATAGATGAACCTTTTCCCCATATTTGTGTCAACTTCTTTTCTATGGTCACTAATTTTCTAGATGAAAAGTTATGTTATTTTAATTTGCATTTTTGTGGTCACTAGTAAGATTTATCTTTTTCCTCCCAAAGTATTTGGCTATTTGCATCTTTTATTCTTTGCCCTTTTGTTTTTTAAAGTAGTAAATTTTTTCCAGTAATATATAATTCTTATTAAAAATTTAAGAAATACACAGCCAGGTGCAATGGCTCACGTCTGTAATCCCAGGACTTTGGGAAGCTGAGGTAGGCAGATCAGTTGAGGTTGGGAGTTCAAGACCAGCCTGACCAACGAGGAGAAACCCTGTCTCTATTAAAAATACAAAAATAGCTGGGCGTGGTGGCACACGCCTGTAATCCCAGCTACTCGGGAGGGTGAGGCAGGAGAATCGCTTGAACCCGGGAGGCAAAGGTTGTGGTGAGCTGAGATCGTGCCATTGCACTCCAGCTTGGGCAAACAGAGGGAAACTCTGTCCCTCTTTATTTCAGAAATACAGTATTTTATTTCTGAATTTAAGAAATACAGAAAAGGTTAAGGCCCTTCCCACAATTCAATCTCCTTCCTTGTCCAAAGAAAAAACACTGGTAGAGTTTGGTATATATTCGTCAGAACTTTTATTCTTTTAGAGACAAGGTCTCACATCATCCAGGCTGGATTGTAGTGGCACAATCGTAGCTCACTGCAGCCTCAAACTTCGTGGCTCAAGCAATCCTCCCAGGAATTTTTTTTTTTTTTTGGAGACAGTCTTGCTCTGTCACCCAGGCTGGTGTGCAATGGCGTGATCTTGGCTTACTGCAACCTCCGCCTCCCAGGTTCAAGTGATTACTGCCTCAGTCCCCTGAGTAGCTGGGATTACAGGTGCCCACCACCACGACTGGCTAATTTTTGTATTTTTAGTAGAGATGGGGTTTCACCATGTTGGTCAGGCTGGTCTCAAACTCCTGACCTCAGGTATCTACCCATGTTGGCCTCCCAAAGTGCTGGGGTTGCAGGTGTGAGCCACTGAGCCTGGCCAGGACTTTTAAATATAAGTTTACAACAGCAATTAAGTGTCATTTATTTCTAGGTAGCTTTCACTTTTTTATCTCTGCATTTTTAAAATAACTGACCACTCTATTTTATTTATTTATTTTTTTTTTTGAGACAGAGTCTCGCTCTGTCACCCAGGCTGGAGTGCAGTGGGACGATCTTGGCTCACTGCAACCTCCGACTCCCAGGTTCAAGCAATTCCCTGCCTCAGCCTCCCAGGTAGTTGGGATTACAAGTGCCTGCCACTATGCCTGGCTAACTCTTGTATTTTTAGTAGAGACAGGGTTTCACCATCTTGGCCAGGCTGGTCTTGAACTCCTGACCTTGTGATCCACCCGCCTTCGCCTCCCCAAGTGCTGGGATTACAGGTGTAAACCACCACACCTGGCCTTGTTTAAGTAGTTGTGTCATCTGCAAATAATGATAATTGTCTTTCCTTGCAGATAGGTACACTTCTAATTTCTTTTTCATGTGTTAGCTTAATAATTACAATTTTTAAAACAATGTTAAATAAGAGTGGCAAATAGGACAATATTGTAATGCTTTGTACTGTCTGACATGGTGTTGGTTATTCAATTCAGACAAATTTTTAAGAATCATGTCAAGAAAATATTGTTCCTAGTTTAGTAAGATTTTTTTTTTTTTTTTTTTGAGACGGCTTTTCGCTCTTGTTTCCCAGGCTGGAGTGCAATGGTGTGATCTTGGCTTACCGTAACCTCCACCTCCCGGGTTCAAAAATTCTCCTGCCTCAGCCTCCCGAGTAGCTGGGACTTCAGGCAGGTGCCACCACGCCCAGCCAATTTTTTGTATTTTTAGTAGAGTCAAGGTTTCACCATATCAGCCTGGATGGTCTCGATCTCCTGACCTTGTGATCTGCCCACCTTGGCCTCCTAAAGTGCTGGGTTTACAGGTGTGAGCCACCACGCCTGGTCAAAATATTTTTTATTCTATTTTCTACTTAAAAAAAAATTTTTTTTTGAGATGGAGTTTCACTCTTGTTACCCAGGCTGGAGTGCAATGGCACAATCTCAGCAAGATATGCAACCTCCACCTCCCCGGTTTAAGCAATTCTCCTGCCTCAGCCTCACAAGTAGCTGAGATTACAGGTATGTGTCACCATGCCCCGCTAATTTTGTATTTTTAGTAGAGACAGGGTTTCACCATGTTGGTCAGGCTGGTCTTGAACTCCTAACCTCAAGTGATCCACCTACCTCTGCTTCTCAAAGTGCTGGGATTACAGGTGTAAGCCACAGCGCCCAGCCTTTTATTCTATTTTCAAATTTCTTTTGTAGAGATGGGGGGGCCTCCCTATTTTGCTCAGGCTGGTGTAGAATTCCTGGGCTCCAGTGATCCTCCTGCCTTTGGCTCCCAAAGTGCTGGGATTACATGTGTGAGTTACTATGCCTGGTAGTAAGAATATTTTTAAAAATCAAGAGTTGATGTTGAAAGGATTTTAACATTAATGGTTAAAAAAAAAATCAAACACAACAGTATATGTACTTACGATAACAGATATTCATCAGGAACTGTAAAATGAGAATGGAAAAAAAAAGTTAATTATGTTAAGCCAGTGACCACTGATGTAAAAATCTTAAGAAACACTAAAACCACAAACATTTCTATGTATTATGGACAACTGAACCTATGCATCTGGTTTTACTCCTTCCCCAAACCCCACTAAAACCATAATAAAAAGGCTTCTTTTTTTTTTGAGACAGAGTCTTGCTCTGTTGCCCAGGCTGGAGTGCAACGGTGCAATCTCGGCTCATTGCAACTTCTGCTTCGTGGGTTCAAGTCATTCTCCTGCCTCAGCCTCCCAGGTAGTTGGGACTACAGGCCTGCACTACCACACCTGGCTAATTTTTTTCGTATTTTTGGTAGAGATGAGGTTTTATCATGCTGACTGAGCTGGTCTTGAACTCCTGACCTCATGTGATCTGCTCACCTCAGCCTCCCAAAGTGCTGGGATTACAGGTGTGAGCCACCATTCCTGGCTGGATTTCTTTTTTAAAAGCATGAGTTCCAAAGGATGAGAAAGACAGGGAGAGACAACAGCTATGGTACATTGGAAGCTGATAGAGTAGAAAATGATTTACAAGACCTAAAAATACTGAATCCTAGGCTAGCAATGGGCAAAGTCAAGCACAAGCCTGAGTTACACTCCAAAATCCACCTCTCCCCTTCCCCAAACCCTAAGAAATTGGTGGTGGCACCAAACAGCTTCATTGGGGATGAAGCAAGGATACGAAAATAAGACTCTTTTTCTTCCCCCAAGGCGGAATCTCACTCTTGGAGTGCAGTGGTATGATCTCAGCTCACTGCAACCTCTGCCTCCTGAGTTCAAATGATTCTCCTGCCTCAGCCTCCAGAGAATCTGGGATTACAGGTGTGCGCCACCATGCTGGGCAAATTTTATTGTATGTTTAGTAGACATGGGGTTTCACTGTGTTAGCCAGGATGGTCTCGATCTCCAGACCTCATGATCCACTTGCTTTGGCCTCCTAAAGTGCTGGGATTACAGGCGTGAGCCACCGCACCCGGCCAATATGACTCTTTGCAAGTACGTTTAAGAAGCAGTGGGACCCCGGTTCCCCTCCATAGCTTTAGGTGACTGCCTCTCCCTCATTCTGGCAAAAGACTAGGTTTATTTTCGGGAGTGGTTCAAACATAGGTTGTCCGGACTAGGGAAAAATGCTAAGCACAGTTAAGTCAGGGTGTCACACTGATAACAGGGGGATCTCCTTGCCCTCCTCCCTAACACGGCTCCCACAACACAAGCAATCAGGCTTTCACCCTCTAGCCAGGAAACTGTAAGTCTTCCCTGGGTATATCCCAATATATACCCAGGGAAGTGGGAATGACACTGATATGGTTTCCCCAACTAAACAGCCCAGTGAGAACAACTATAGTGACATTCATATTCCGTAAGCCCCTCTACCACCCAGAGCTTCCAATATACTTTTTAGTCTTCACTCTGAAATATGGCTAGACAACCAAAGGTTACCAGACAACAAAGGAAAAAGTAAACAACAAAACAAACAGAAGAAAGTTACAGGAAAAACTGCAGACAGCAGAAAATTTTAAACATCTATTATTAATATTTTATCATCAGAAAGAAGTCAATGCAATCATAAAACAGGCACAAAAACAGGCACAAGACATAATAATAAAAAAAAGAAATCTTTTGGAAAAAAGCTATAAATTAAAAATACATGGAACAACCCTGTAGTTTCAGCTATTTGGGAAGCTGAGGCAGGAGGACTGCTTGAAACCAGGAGTCTGAGGCCAGCCTGGGCAACATAGTAAGACCCAATCTTTTTTTTTTTTTAAAAAAAAAAAAAAAAAAAAAAAGGCAGAAACTCAACAGAAAATCTGGAAGATAAAAGTTGAAGAAAGTTCCCAGGAAGTAGAGAAAATATAAAAGAAACACAGAAGCCACAGCAGGTCAACCAGAAGGACAACAGTGGACATCCAGTATCTTAATTACACAAATACTGGAAAGAACAGAGAACACAGATGGAGGGAAGTCATCAATCAAATAATTCAAATTTTCCCACAGCTGAAGGACATGAATCTCCAGCTTGCAAGGGCCCACTGTGTGCCCACACGGTGGTGTGAAAAAACAAACCTTATCAGAAGATTCAGAACACCAGTTATGAAGAAAAGATAATTCAAACTTCCAGAGAAACCAACAGTCACATACAAAAATCAGGAGTAACACTAGAAGCTAGGAGTTGGTGGAATGTTTTCAGATGTCTGAAGAAATAGTATTTCCAACAAATAATTCAATACCTAGACAATCACTTAAGTGTGAAGTTAGAAAAAGAACGTTTTCAGAATAAAAAGCCTCAAAAAGGAGCCAGTGTAGGGGCTCACACCTATAATTCCAGCACTTTGGGAGGCCAAGGCAGAAGGATTGCTTGAGCCCAGGAGTTCCAGACTAGCCCGCGCAACAAAGGAAGAGCCCATCTCTTCAGAAAATAAAATAATTAGCTGGGCGTGGTGGAACACATCTGTGGTCCCAGCTACTCAGGAGAATAAGATGGATGGCTTGAGCCTGAAACACTGAGGCTGCAGTGGGCTGTGATTGCACCACTGTCCTCCAGCCTGGGGAACAGAGTGAGACCTGGTCTCCAAAAATAGAAAAGAAAGCCTCAAAAAGTACATCTCATGATCCCTTCTTCAGGAAGCTAGCAGAATATGTGCACCATAAAATATGGTAGTAAGCCTGGGCAATACAGTGAAACCCTGTCTCTACAAAAAATACAAAAATTAGCTGGGAATGGTGGTGCGCACCTGTCGTACCAGTTACTCGGGGAGCTGAGACCAGAGGATCTCTTGAGCCCAGGAGGTTGAGGCAGCACTGAGCTATGATTATGCCACTGAACTCCAGCCTAGGTGACACAGCAAGACCCTACCTCCAAAGAAAAAAAGATTTATGGCCGAGCGCAGTGGCTCACGCACTTTGGGAGGCTGAGGCGGGTGGATCACGAGGTGAAGAGATCGAGACCATCCTGGTCAACATGGTGAAACCCCGTCTCTATAAAAATACAAAAAATTAGCTGGGCATGGTGGCGCTTGTCTGTAATCCCAGCTACTCAGGAGGCTGAGGCAGGAGAATTGCTTGAATCCAGGAGGCGGAGGTTGCGGTGAGCCGAGATCGCGCCATTGCACTCCAGCCTGGGTAAAAAGAGCAAAACTCTTTCAAAAAAAAAAAAAAAGTTTAATAACTCAAAATTTCGAGTAAAATAATCCAGAACTCCACGTTTCTATCACTCATGGTAGGCTCCTGTCCCTTCCACTCCGGGGCAGGGACCCCTCTCAGGGACCCAACCAGGTTTCGGCACTTCGGTCCCCACTGGCCTGCTCGCTCCGACGGAGGGGCTCCTGCAACTGCGCTGTACCCTAAACATTTGCTGAATCGATTTGACTTTTACTTGTTCCAATTTCGCTTTTTTCTTTTTTTAAGAACATAAGGTTTACAAGAACCACACGCAGAAAAGGCAGGGCCAGGCCCGGACGCCCCGCCTCCTGCCTCCCGGCCCGGCGGTGCCCGGATGCCCGGTCTGTGCCCACAGCGCAGCCACACACGACCTCCGTCCCGTACTTTGCGCACTCTCCTGCACCGCCGCAGCCATTTCGCTCAAGAGCTGCTCCACGACCGCCGGCAATACAACGGCCATCGCTCCGCAGGACACACCCTCCTCAAAACGCAGACCGCCCCAACCCGCCAGCAGACAGCGCCGACAAGCGGAGGATCCCAGCAGCTCGCCCGCCGGGGCAGGTCGAGACGGAGTGACGTCGGCGTGCGTCATCGCGCGTGCGGACGCAACGGTGTCTTGCTCAATCGTCACAGCCGGGCCAATCCGGAGGGCGCTCGGCGCGGGCGCCAGGGCGGGGGCTAGGATTGCGCCCGGCCTGCAGTGCGCAGAGGAAGCGGCTGGAGTATGTACCGGCTCCTGAGCCGGAGCTTGGGCCGAGGCCTCCTGCGGGCCTCGGGGCGGCGGTGCCGGGGCTGCTCGGCGCGCCTACTCCCGGGGCTGGCAGGAGGCCCGGGACCCGAGGTCCAGGTGCCGCTATCCCGAGTTGCGCCGCACGGCCGGGGCCCGGGCCTGCTGCCGCTGCTGGCAGGTGAGCGGCGCGGGCCGGGCGGGGCCTGCCGGGCGGGGACAGGGGCGCGGGCCGGGCCCGATGACCTCAGAGCCCCTTCCCGCAGCGCTCGCCGGGTTTTCGAGTCCCGCTGCGGCAGAGGAAGAGGAGCAGCAGGGAACCGACGGGGCCGCCGCCGAGGACGGGGCGGACGAGGCCGAGGCCGAGATCATCCAGCTGCTGAAGCGAGCCAAGGTGAGGCGGCTCCGGGCCCTGCGCCCGGCCGAGCGCGGTAGCCTTTGTGAGCGGGGTCCGGCGGCCTTGTCGCTGCGCATTACTCTCTCCGCCTCGCCGAAGAGTGGATGGAGGCTCCGCGGGTAGAATTGCCGAGAATGAGGTGGGTCATCCGAGAGGGGATTGGAATTCTTCCAGGATTTTCCGACTCTAAGGCCTTTAGTTATACCTCTGCAGTGTCAACTGCAAATGGAGATGGCGCCCCAGGCGTCATCTTTTTATGCAAACGAAATATCGGGAACGTTTTGTAAATGTTCGATTAACTAGCTTAGCTGAAATGACGTAATTTCGCACTTATATAGCGGCCTAAAAATGTTAGCTTAGTGTTGGTTACGCGATTCGGTTCTCTTTTGAATTTTTCCTTTTCTCCACATCCTTTTCTATTTTATGTTCTCCAAGTTATTTTATCTCTTTCATTGAGCTAAATACCGACTCGATGCCAACCACGTTCAAATTTGTATTCCAAGTAGTGTGTTACTGACATGCCATCTGCATTTTGGGACCTTATCTACCTCTCAGATTTAACAATGCCCTAAACTCAACTCCATCTTTAATGCCTCCTCAACATATGCTTTCACCATCTCTTTACTACCATCAATTTTTAAGCCTAGAAAGCTCATAGTCATTCTTAAAACTTATGCTACCTTACCATTGCCTTCCAATACTCTTACAGACTAGCAACAGGTCCTGTTTCTAACAAATGCAAAATATTTTTAAATATTTCTCAAATCTCCCTATTTCTCTATCTCCCCTGCTATCACCCTAGTGCAAACCATCACTGCCACCACCTATGCTCCAGTAGTCTTCCCTGCCCTCCTGTCTCCCTGCAGTGTATTCTTGCAGAAACCAGAGTGACCAAAAAAAAAAAAAAAAAGCAAATTGTATTATATTATCTCCTTGCCTGAAAGCTCTAAATGGCTACTCACTGTATTTATGGTAAAATACAAACTCCTTGTCATGGCTTGCAACACCCCACATTATCTAAACCAGCATACCTTGCCCGCCAGTTTGGCAATAATCCTCTGGCTCACCATCCTCCCTTCACATCTGGTTCTTTCCATTTCTCCCCTAAAACCATTCTCTTCAGCTTGTAGGGACTTCATTCATTCTCTACTCTCTCTGTTTGAGTTATTCTTCTCCCCAGTTCCTTATTTGGTTGACTCATTCTCATCCTTCCTGCCTCAGTTTAGCTGTCATGTTCTTGGAAGGCTAACCTAATTCCCATTTAGAGGAGGCCCCTATCATTTCTTTTTGTCATCTTTATAGCTCTTATTAGTTTTAATTAAGCTTACTTGCTCCATATGGTCACCTCCAGCCTGTAGGAAATTAGAGGATGAAGGACAAGCAACTTCCTTATAAAATATGTTGTAAGATCACATTTCTTCTGTCCGAGTCTCTTGGCCAAAACTTCATCAGATGGCCACACCTAGCTGCAAGGGAGGCGTACCTAGCTGCAAGGGAGGCGTACCTAGCTGCAAGAGAGGCGTACCTCCCTGTCACCTCTGTAGACAATGCCTTGAACATAGTAGGAATTCAGTAAATGTCTGATGAATGAGTAGCTTCCTTCTATCAGTTGGAATGCATAGTTACATACACTTCTGTCTGGTAGTATATGCATCTACTTTATGTTTCATTTTCTATTATTTTGTTTGTCTTCTCTTTTCAGTTGAGCATCATGAAAGATGAGCCAGAAGAGGCTGAGTTAATTTTGCATGACGCTCTTCGTCTCGCCTATCAGACTGATAACAAGAAGGCCATCACTTACACTTATGATCTGGTAACTCTTATCACCAGTCTGAACCACTGAGGAGAAAGGTTGGATGGAAGGGGAGGGTTGTTAGTTCTCCTGATTTATATTCCTGACTTTCATGATGTTCTAAAGCTCTTTTTCTTTTTTTTTTTTTTTCCTGAGACGGAGTCTCGCTGTGTAGCCAGGCGCCAGGCTGGAGTGCTGTGGCCTGATCTCGGCTCACTGCAACCTCTGCCTCCCAGGTTCAAGCAATTCTTCTGCCTCAGCCTCCGGGTAGCTGGGACTACAGGTGCATGTGACCATGCCCAGCTAAATTTTTTTGTATTTTTAGTAAAGATGGGGTTTCACCATGTTGGCCAGATGGTCTCTATCTCTTGACCTCGTGATCTGCCCACCTTGGCCTCCCAAAGTGCTGGGATTACAGGCTTGAGCCACTGCACCCAGCCGAAGCCCATTTTCTTCTGGCTTCAGGTTTGTTTTGTTTTTGTTTTTGTTTTTGAGATGGAGTCTTGCTCTGTTACCCAGGCTGCATTTCAGTGGCGCGATCTTGGCTCACAGCAACCTCCACCTCATGAGCTCAAACAATTCATGTGCCTCAGCCTCCTGAGTAGCTGGGATTACAGACATGCACCACTATGCCTGGCTAATTTTTGTATTGTAGTAGAGACGAGGTTTCATCGTATTGGCCAGGCTGGTCTCCCAACTCCTAACATCAGGTGATCCACCTGCCTTGGTCTCCCAAAGTGCTGGAATTATGGGTATGAGCCACCATGCCTGGCTTCAGTTTTTTTACCCTTGGGGTGACATAAGACCTCTCAATTCCAGACCAAAAAGAAACCAGTATCATTAGCATGTTTCTTTTTTTTTTTTTGAGACAGACTTTTACTGTTGTTGCCCAGGCTGGAGTACTACAGTGGGATCTTGGCTCAGCACAACCTCTGCCTCCCGAGTTAAAGTGATTCTCTGCCTCAACCTTCCAAGTAGCTGGGTTTACAGGCATGTGCCACCACGTCCTACTAATTTTTGTATTATTAGTAGAGACGAGGTTTCTCTGTGTTGTTCAGGCTGGTCTTGAACTCCCAACCTCAGGTGATCTGCCTGCCTCGGATCCCCAGAGTGCTGGGATTACAGGCGTGAGCCACTGTGCCCAGCCATTAACATGTTTCTTTAATGATGAGTGGACCTAGATTTGGTTTGTTATCAACAAAGTATGTGCAAGTATTTACTTCAAACACGATTGCTGTTCTGTGCTTCTAGCAGATTAATTGGTGACATGCTTTTCATTTTAAACTATTTTTTCAATTTTGAGGGTGAAAGCAAAAGGCAATTTTAAAGTTTGAAATAAATAGGAACCGTGCTGTAAACTGAAAAACAATTTGTAATTTGCTTTCAGATGGCCAACTTAGCATTTATACGGGGTCAGCTTGAAAATGTAAGTAAATTACTTTGTAATACCTTGAATTTATAAAGGAGTAGCCTCAAGGGAACCGTAATAGTAAGGGTACAGCCTAAGCTGCTATAACAAAGAGACCCCAAAATAGTGACTCAAACAAGATGAAAATGTATTTCTCTTTGTTGTGTTAGTCCAGAGATAGGCTAAAGACTGAAGGCAGATAGACAAATAGGCACCATTGCTCTCTGATCCAGAAGTCCAGATTCCTTCTAAGATAAGCCCTCATTTGCCTGGGTAAGCTGACTCACCTCCAGCCTCCAGGAAGGGAGAGAAGATGGACTGTGAGCCGTTTCCTTATATGATTTAGAAGTTCACATTCTTTCTGCCTGCATCCCTTGGCCTAAATCTTATCATATGACCATATCTAATTTCAGGGGGCCAATCTGCTAAAATTGGCTGAAAAAATTTTTTTTTCAAGATAAGGTGTTGCTCTCTTGCCCAGGTTGGAGTGCGGTGGCTTGATCATAGCTGACTGCAACCTCGACCTCCCAGGCTCAGTTGATCCTCCTGCCCCAGCCTCCTGAGTTGCCGGGACTCCAGGCATGTGCCACAACACCTGGTTAATTTTCTTTTTTTTGGTAGAGACAGGGTTTCACCATGTTTCCCAGGCTAAATTGAGGGGATTCTGTAATCAAAAAGATGGAGAAGGAGAGTGACTATTAGGAGACAGTTTGTAGTCTGTGCCACAGTGGGTTTGGATAAGAAGTTAATCTCCAAGGTTGTTTTCTACTTATCACAGAGTAGTTTAAGGTACATAGAGGATGTTGGGGGTCCTGATATTTTGATCTGCTTTCCATTCAAAAGGGTATTTTCGTGTGTGTGTGTGTGTGTGTGTGTGTGTGTGTGTGAGAGCATATGTGTTTTACAAGGAATGAGGCATCAAACTGGTACTGAGAATCCAGAGTCATTTATATAGTGAGGCCCAATTAAAAGAAAAATCTTTTCCTTATGCTTTTAGGCTGAACAACTTTTTAAAGCAACAATGAGTTACCTCCTTGGAGGGGGCATGAAGCAGGTAAGGACATTGCTTAGTATTCGCCCCTCACCGAAGCAGTTTTCAAAACATTCTTGTCTCCTGAAAACTCTGCCCAGCCCCCACCATATGCTTTGGTCAGGAAAGGTGGCATTTCCCTCCCAAGATCTGTATAGAAATTGCCATTCTTTCACTAAATGCAACAGCATGGTCACCAAGGAATTGACAGTTGGCTAATCACTCTAAAAGAATAAAGACTATGGCTTTGAGGCCACCGTCAGTCTGGAAGTTGATCTGAAATATTGCATGAGAAAATTTTACTTGTTATGAATTCCCTTCATTTCTCTTTCTCTCACAGGAGGACAACGCAATAATTGAAATCTCCCTAAAGTTGGCCAGTATCTATGCTGCACAGAATAGGTAAGTGTAACAGCCAGGGAGCAGGACTGTGGGCAGAAAACTGTCTTTAGGATATTACGTAATATTCATTGCCTACTGGTCATCTGGGTCTCCCAGAAATTGGGTGTCACACTCAGAAAGTGTTCCATCCCTCATCTTTGAAATTGTCAGTCTTTTCCAGTTTGCCCCTGCTGTTTCCATTAGCCTGCCTAGTGGGACGCAACATCTCTGGCTGCCCTGTGACATAGCTAATCAAGTGTTCTGTTGCTGCTTGAAGTGGGAAGGGAAGTTAGAGTTAGAACTTTAGTTTAGCTTTTCCTAGAAGAGGAAAGAGCAATGTGAAAGCCGCTGGGGATGATATATTAATACTTTGAAGAAGCCACTTGGCGGGTATAAATACAGTCCAAAGATGAAGCATGTAGGATGTAAGGAGAGAACTCGTCTAGAGAGTTATATTTTGGGGTGAATTTAGGGAGAGACCTAAGATTAGCTTCCCTTAGGGTTTTAGTTATGCAGAAGTTGGTGTGATAGGTTTGGAGTGACATGCAGCCTGATGATGTAGAAAGGGTACTCACCGAGGCCAGGCCCTGGCATTGGTCCCTGTTGTCCTACTCACCAGCTCCTTTGTTCTCATCAGGACTTGCATAGTCTGCTTGCATTCTGATTGGACACTAGAGAGGCTAGAGCTTCCTGAAGTCTTTGACTTCAAGTCTTTTGAGGAGCTTTGAGCTTGGCCCATGCCAGGGAACACTGCTTCTTGATCAATCTTCCTTGGAGTTATAACAAACATGCCTAGTTCTTGATTGGGAATGAACTCCTAGGGTAAGAAGAAGTCCAGAGCTAATAAACATTGTTGAGTAAGACAAACTCATAGTCATGTAGAGGTGAAAGCTAGTAATAATTAGCCTCTAAGTTACTTGGTACTTCGTACCTTTCATTTTGTTTTATTAAGAGAAATATGAGACCAGAAAAGACATGGCCAGATCTGGGGCTTAGAAAGGCTGATATAAGTTAGGAGGGGAATTGTTTGTAGACCTCTTGGCTCTGACTGGGAGCCTCTTGTGGGCAGCATCCACTTGCCCTGTATTATGGCTAGAGAGGGCCCTCTTGCCAAGGTTTGAATATAGGGAAGGAAGGGGATGCTTCTGTTCTTCTGAGAACAGAACAGAATGGTAGGATCATAAATTCTCCACTGGCAAAGCACTAGAGAAGATGAGCTTTTTAATGCCACTTCTATAAGAAACTAAAGCCAAAACTGAAGAACAGGAACCAAAGCTGAGCTCCTGAATGGACAAGGGATTTCTGTCACATTTCCTCTGCATCTCTAAAAAGCAGCAGTCTGTCTGCCTGCTTGAGTTGACTGAACCCTCTCCAGATGATTGAGGGTCCGGGGCTGCAGAGTTGGGTTAAATGACTTCTATTGCCATAGCTAGGAGTTCCATTTCTGTAAAAGAAATTTTTTTTTGGAGGGGATGGAGTTTCACTCTCGTCACCCACGCTGGAGTGCAATGGCACGATCTCAGCTCACTGTAACCTCTGCCTCCTGGGCTCAAATGATTCTCCTGTCTCAGCCTCCTGAGTAGCTGGGATTACAGGCACCCCCCACAATGGCTGGCTAATTTTTGTATTTTTAGTAGAGACAGAGTTTCGCCATATTAGCCAGGCTGATCTCGAAACTCCTGACCTCAGGTGATCCACCGGCCTCAGACTCCCAAAATGTGGGGATTACAGGCATGAGCCACTGCGCCTGGTCCTGTAAAAGAAACTTTGATCAAAGACCTACAGCTTGAGAGAAATATAAAATGACTAAACTTCTCAGAAGCTGTATGAGGTCAAGAGTTGGAATCCTCAACTGCAGGGTGGCCTGAGCCACCTACTTCCGGGTAGTATTACTTGAACAGGGGTAAGGCTTTCACACATGGAGAAACTGATTCACTGGATACCATTTGTTTGTGGGAGATGATGAAGACTACTGGCTATGTCAGTTATTAAAATTATGGCAGCATTCCTAGCTCTTTATGTCTTAAGTTATATTAAATGGATGACTTAAAAAAATACTTCTGAGAAATGGCAGATTTGACACTCTTTAGACTTTAAGCTAAGTTCCCTCTTCCTATTTTACATTTCCTTTATTGATAATGTTTACATTGAGCTGGAAGAATGAAGATAAAAGAGGAATTTATGAAAAGGTAAATGGACCGGGCAAAGCGGCTCATGCCTATAATCCCAGCACTTTGGGAGGCCAAGGTGGGGGCGGATCACCTAAGGCCAGGAGTTCGAGACCAGCCTGGCCAACCTGGTGAAACCCTGTCTTTACTAAAAATACAAAAATTAGCTGGGCGTGCTGGCAGGTGTGTGTAATTCCAGCTACTTGGTAGGATGAGGCAGGAGAATTGCTTGAACCGAGGAGGTGGAGGTTGCAGTGAAACTCCGCTTCAAAGAAAAAAAAAGAAGAAAAGGTAAAGGACTGATTATACTTCAAAGAAAAAAAAAAGGAAGAAGAAAAGGTGAATGACTGATTATTGATTTTGCTTTACAGACAGGAATTTGCTCTTGCTGGCTATGAATTCTGCATTTCAACTCTAGAGGAAAAAATTGAAAGAGAAAAGGAATTAGCAGAAGACATTATATCAGGTAGGAAACCTGTTATCTGGGCATTGCCTTTTCTCCACAAAAGGCTTTATTTTACACTTTGAGAAATGGAAAGAGATCTAAATTGGGAAGAGGGAAAGTTACCTATTTTGTAAAATAAGTGGCTATCTTTAAGGTATCAGCAGAAGTTTTGGAATAAGATGTTTTGTTTAGAATATTTGACTGATGTTTTGGTGGGTTTTTTAACCCTGTTGGTGACACGTTCATAATTTATCTGTTAACTTTTAGTTACATACAACTTATGGAAAATCAAGGAGCAGAAGGAGGTCTTTCATCTTTTAGTTCAGCTACCAATCGAAATGTTTATTATGTTTTAGCCCTAGATAAACAGCAAGTTAAGAAAGAAGAGAAAAAAACTCATGTTTTTACAATTCATTCTCACTCATTATGGAGGCTAGGAATAGAACTGGATGAGCAGGAAGCTCTCTATCTCTCCATTTTGGGTTTCTTAATTTGGGTTGAAGTATTGAGAATTTTCATATTTGACATTTATTCACTACCTACTCTATACCAAGAGCTATTGAGATGGTAGGGATACAGCAGTCAACTCTACTGGACCTAATTGTCTTCTCTCTCCTGAACGTACAGTAGTTCCCCCAGTAGATGCCTGAAACAAATTCTAGTACACTGTTTTTTCTATACATATGTACCTATGATAAAATTTAATTTATATTAGGCACAGTAAGAGATTAACAACAATAACTTAGAACAGTTATAACAGTATAGTGTTAACAGTGTCACCGACAGAAGATTCATTCTTTTGTAGATCTTGGCAACTTCAGCATGCAATTTTTTTTTCTTAAGTCGAGAACTTTCACCTTTTCATTAAAAGGAAGCACTTTCTGACTTCTCTTTGTCATATTCAAATTACCAGTGTCACTATTGCACTTTGGGGCCATTATGTAAAATACGGATTGCTTGAGCACAAGTACTGCGACACGGTGGGTTGATCTGATAACTGAGACTGCGGCTAAGTGACTGAGGCCAGGTGCTGTATGCAACATGGGTATGCTAGACAAAGAGATGATTACATGTCCTGGTCTGGGTGACGTGGGGCAGTCCAAGATTTCATCATGCTACCCAGAATGGCATGTAATTTAGAAACTTAGGAGTTATTTATTTCTGGAAATTTTCCGTTTAATATTTTTAGACCATGATTAACTGCAGATAACGGAAACCCCAGAAAGTGAAACCGTGCATTAGGGGTCACTGTACGCCAATTTTTTGTCTTCACCACTCCACTGAAGCTACCTTTATCCGAGTCACCAAATCCAGTGGTTACTTCCCAATCCTTAACTTACTCATCAGCAGCTTTAACTTAGCGGATCACTGTCTTTTACTGAAAATACTTTCACTTGGCTTCTGGGATGCTTCACTGGTCTCTCCAGTGAGGTGAGTGTTGGCAGCCCATGGGGCTGTTTTTATCCCTATTCTCTTTTCTTTCTGCCCCCACACCTAGGAGATACCCTTTAATTCCATACCTTTAAATATTAGATTTACAACTTCAGCCCCTAACTTGCCCCCAAATGGCAGACTTATGATTATGATTGCCTACCTGACATCTTGACTTGACGTCTAATGGTCATCTCATGCTTAACATGTCCAAAATGGGTCTCCTCAGTTTTGCCACTCACAATTTGTTTCTCCACTAGTCAGTCCCAGTTTTATAAATAGCACAACACTCACTCATTTAGTTGCTTTGACCAAGAACCTGAGAATTGTCCATGATTTCTTCTTCATTCCTCATATCTAATCCATTAGCAAGTTGTATTAGATCAGGCATCAAAATATATCCATATCTGACCATTTGTCATCCCCTTACCCTACTGCGTTGGTCCAGGCCATCACTGTTTCAAGACGTCAGTACCTTTGGTCACCTTTAGAAAAAACTTAGAGTCCCTGCGTGGACCTGTAAGGCTCTTATGACCTGGGCCTACCCACCTCTTTCACGCCATCTGCTTCTCTCCCCTTGCTGGTTCCGGTCTCTCCACACTGGCCTTATTCTTGCACATTTCAAGCTCAGTACTGCTTTAAGGCCTTTTTGCTTGATATTCCCTTTACCTAGACTATTCTGTCTTCTCCCATACTTCACTCAGGTCGCTGCTCAAATATCACTTTCTTGGAGTCCTTCCCTCACTAAAACAGTCATCTCTTCCAACCTTACTACTGATCTACTCCTCTTTCCTTTACTTTTCTATGTCACATTTGAAAGTACAGGTGTGTGTGTGTTGTGTGCTTGTCCTTGTTTCTCCACTAAAAGTATGTTTTTGTTAAAAAATTTTTAGTTGGCCGGGCGCGGTGGCTCACGCCTGTAATCCCAGCACTTTGGGAGGCCGAGGCGGGTGGATCACGAGGTCAAGAGATTGAGACCAGCCTGGTCAACATGGTGAAACCCCGTCTCTACTAAAAATACAAAACATTAGCTGGGCATGGTGGCACGTGCCTGTAATCCCAGCTACTCAGGAGGCTGAGGAAGGAGAATTGCCTGAACCCAGGAGACGGAGGTTGCGGTGAGCTGAGATCGCGCCATTGCACTCCAGCCTGGGTAACAAGAGCGAGACTCCATCTCAAAAAAAAAAAAAAAAAATTTTTAGTCTTTGTCTTCCTTATCAAAGAAGGATAGAGACTTCATCTGTTATGCTCACTGCTAAATCCTTGGTGTCTAGAACAGCGCCTGGCACATAATAGAGGCTCAATAATTACTGAATGAAAGAACAAAAGACCCAAGAAAGACCAACAAATAAATCCAGTTTCAGTGCAGTGTGGAAGTGCTTTGAGGAAATCCATAAGAGTTGTAAAAACAAGTCTAGCTGTGAAGTAAGTCACTTCTGAACTATTCACACCCTTACTATCTTTCATTCGTAGTGTTCTCAGGACTATATTTTCTGACTCAGAAAGTAGTATCAGTAAACACTGAAGAAAATTTAGAAAAGCACTAATAAGTAAAGATCATCTGTAATCATACTGCTAAGAAAGAGCTACTGTTTATTTTTTAGTATGTCTTTTTAGGTTACATTTTAATAAATTTGGGATGATACTGTATATCCTACTTTGTATCCTGAGTTTTAAAAATTTAGTGACATTGCGAAAACACTTCTTTTTTTTCTAGGCAAAGGAATTCCTGTTGGATAGAGCAAGCTAATTTCTATTATAAACATTATTTTTACATTTTACTAGTTGTGCAGTATAGAAAATGTGTTACGTGATTCATCTTATTTTTTTTGGGAAAAGAAATAAATTCCTACCTATTCAGTTTTGCACAAAGCAAATCCATTATCAAATTTATGTGCTTTTTATTGACACATCTAACTCTATCCTAAGAGAACATTACTTAAGATCACATAAAAACTTGGCTCTAGCATAATTTTCTTGTTCCCCATGTAAATATTGTATGTACCCACTGAAGAAATGCCCATAAAATATTAAATGAAAACTTTGGTTACAAAACAGTATAGTTAATATGTAGACTAAAGATAGACATGGAACAAAGGCTGAATGATATCAAAATATAGGCAGTGATTCTCTTTGGCTGATTTATAGGGAATTTGTGTTTCTCTAAGTATTCTATAATTTTTTACAACAAATTTACGTTTTTCTTTTTAAAATTGATTTCCATTGTTACCTGTTAGTATAAAAAGTCAAATAATATTAATAGTACAAAGCTTAATTTAAGATAGCATTTTCTTGCTACCTCACCCCACCCCATCTGTTTTCAACTCTTAACCAATTTCTTCTGGTATTTACCTTTACATTTCTGAATAACATAAAATTGTTATTTCCTGATTCATTATTTTCAGAATCTGCTGACTTATGGAAAAGTGAAGATTTAGTGCAATTTCTGGTTATGTCTCCATTATGAGTGTATGAATACTGTTAGCTGCTGAGCCAAGTAACATGATTACAGAATTACATTTCCTTTTGTGTACGTTTTACTTCCTTTGCAGTTAACTAGGTTTTTTTGTGTGTGACTCTGTTTGTTATGTATGTGTCAGATTCTTCGTTTAACCATATCACTTGCTTTCTTCAATTTATAAGCTTTTCTAGTATTCTAGAGTTCATCATGTTGGCTCACTTTTCATTGGCATGGGTGGCCATAGGCATTCGGTCTTCATCTTACTTTTTTTTTTGTTTTTGTTGAGACAGATGTCTCACTCTTTCACCCAGGCTGGAGTGCAGTGGCGTGATCTTGGCTCACTCTAAGCTCTGGCTCCTGGGTTTAAGCGATTCTTATGCCTCTGCCTTCCAAGTAGCTGGGACTACAAGGCATGAGCTACCATGCCTGGCTAATTTTGTATTTTTAGTAAAGACAGGGTTTCACAGTGTTGGCCAGGCTGGTCTCAAACTCTTGACCTCTGGTGATCCGCCTGCCTCAGCCTCCCAAATTGTTGGAATTACAGGCATGAGCCACTGCTCCTGGCCGTGTTTTATCTTTTTCCTCCTGTAACTTTCATTTTAGTGGTATTTGGGGAAGAAGTGGAGAGAAACACATGTGTTCAGTTCAGAATAGTAAATCTGTCATTGGGCATCAAGATAGTGTCCAAATCTGTTTCTTTAAAGTGGATTCTTAGCACTGAGATTTCAGAGTTGAGTAGCAGCACATTTTAAGGTTGTTGATGACTGTTGCCAAATTGCCTTTGAAAGGGCTGTGTTACTTTATATTTCCTGGTTCTGCTATTTATTTACTTCGTGACTTTGATCAAATTACTTAATCCCTGTGTACTTTTTCTTCAGTGTGGGATTAAAAATAGTACTCATAGGACCTTTAGGAAGGTTGAACGAGTTAATACATAAAAAGCACTTAGAATAATCCATTGTAGCTGCTCAGAAAGTGTTTGTTAGTGGTTTGTATTACTGTGGTAAGGCTATGTCCTCCTCCCCAAAACTCATTAATTTTTATAATATTTTTTAGCTTGATGATAGGGCCTTGGTGCATTATCTAGCATTTCTTTGATAAGCAGTGAGGTGTATCTTTTTCTTTTCTT